ATAGACTCCTACTACCTCATATATATGTATATCTATATAGAGTCCTTCTACATCATATATCTGTATATCATTATAGAGTCCTTCTACATTATATATCTGTATATCTATATAGACTCCTACTACCTCATATATATGTATATCTATATAGAGTCCTTCTACATCATATATCTGTATATCATTATAGACTCCTACTACATCATATATCTGTATATCAAGAAAAAGAGAGAAATAGTCGTTTTTTTGTCTTAGAAATGTTTCCCAAGTCACACTTGTTGTTCACAGGTTATTGTATGTAGCTATTGACTCAAATACAGAAGATGGAGGACCAATTCATGATTTTCGACCAATGGTAGCTGTTTTCTTCATTGTGTACATAATCATCATTGCTTTCTTCATGGTGAACATCTTTGTTGGCTTTGTTATCGTGACATTTCAAAATGAAGGAGAACAAGAATATAAGAACTGTGAGTTGGATAAAAACCAGGTAATACTGAGCTTGTGTCTTCACTAGAGTTTAGTTCTTCGTTTGCTCTGCTTTAAATAACATAACGTTTCTGTGTTTTACTGGTGATTAGATGTTGGTAGTAGGTCACATAAAACTGGGGATTTTCTTCACAAGTGATCAATTTAACTTTTACAACACTGAACTTGTTTCTTTCTTCACAAGTGTTCAGGTGTTGTCAGTTAGTTCCCCTGAACATCATACAACATATGTTAACATGGTCTAACATTCCTGGCACTAATGACAACTCTCTAATGTTCATGTGTTGTCAGTTAGTTCCCCGTTAAGCAACATGTCACTAAACATCATACAACATATGTTAACATGGTGTAACATTCCTGGCACTAATGACAACTCCATAGTGTTCAGGTGTTGTCAGTTAGTTTTCCTTTAAGCAACATAACACTGAACATCATACAACATATGTTAACATGGTATAACATTCCTCGCACTAATGACAACTCTCTAATGTTCATGTGTTGTCAGTTAGTTTTCCTTTAAGCAACATAACACTGAACATCATACAACATATGTTAACATGGTATAACATTCCTCGCACTAATGACAACTCCCTGGTGTTCGGGAGTTGTCAGTTAGTTCCCCTTTAATCAACATAACACTGAACATGTTACAACACTATAACACTACTGACAATGTTCTAAAACACAAGAAAAATTGAGAATCTGAAACGTTTAAAATTTATAACCCTGAAGCTGATATTTGGAGACATCAAGTTGTGATCTATTCATAATGTTTCTAAAGTTCTATCTAACGCTTGAAAATACTCTGCTAATACTTTGATTCACTCTGTACTTATTTATTGGTGGAAAGTGGTGGAAAATTACTTTGTTTATTATTTACAGCGGAACTGTATAGAGTTTGCTTTGAAAGCTAGACCAGTAAGGCGTTTTATACCAAAGCATCGTGTTCAATACAAAATCTGGTGGTTCGTCACTTCACAGTACTTTGAATACGCCATCTTTATCTGCATTATGGTGAACACACTATCTCTAGCTATGAAGGTAAGAATTATAGGTTATGGTGAACACACTATCCCTAGCTGTGAAGATTGGTGTTGGTACATTATAGTGAACACACTCTCCCTAACTATGAAGGTAGGTGTTGGTACATTATTATCAACACACTGTCCCTAACTATGAAGGTAGGTGTTGGTACATTATAGTGAACACACTGTTCCTAACTATGAAGGTAGGAGTTGGTATATTATGATCAACACACTGTCCGTAACTATGAAGGTAGGTGTTGGTACATTATTATCAACACACTGTCCCTAACTATGAAGGTAGGTGTTGGTACATTATAGTGAACACACTGTCCCTAACTATGAAGGTAGGAGTTGGTATATTATGATCAACACACTGTCCGTAACTATGAAGGTAGGTGTTGATACATTATTATCAACACACTGTCCTTAGCTATGAAGGTAGGAGTTGGTATATTATGATCAACACACTGTCCGTAACTATGAAGGTTTGTGTTGGTACATTATTATCAACACACTGTTCCTAACTATGAAGGTACGTGTTGGTACATTATTATCAACACACTGTTCCTAACTATGAAGGTACGTGTTGGTACATTATTATCAACACACTGTTCCTAACTATGAAGGTAGGTGTTGGTACATTATAGTGAACACACTGTCCCTAACTATGAAGGTAGGTGTTGGTACATTATAGTGAACACACTGTTCCTAACCATGAAGGTAGGTGTTGGTACATTATTATCAACACACTGTCCTTTACTCTGAAAGTAGGTGGTGGTATATTGATAGGTTCATAATAATTCTTCTAATGAGTATTAATATATTGTTACTACAAATATATTCCTTGACAAAATGCACTAATAACGAAGATATAGATGTAGATGAGATATAGAATCTTCAACAATTTATAAATATATTTTTACTGTTATTGTTTTCCAGGAACGTACATATAACTTTTATATTTGCCACTGATATGCATTTGTTGTCAGAACGTCGATATTCTCGTCTTTTCAGATCTTTAATAACTAAATTCATTTGTCATCCACAGTATCACAACCAACCTGAAAACTATACCACTGCCTTGGATGTCTTGAACCAGATTTTCACAGCAGTATTTGCCCTTGAGTTTCTTTTGAAGGTTACGGGGTTTGGATTCAAGGTGAGTTACGTCACCAAGTGTTAGATGATGAAATTCAACTATTGTATTCATGAAGTACTTCGAGGGTCAACCCCCATGATTCAGAGAGGCACCAATATACCGATCTAGCTTCTTTATCATCACATTTACATCTCTAGCTATCTCTAGAGGAGCGTGTACCTAAGAAAGACTCGTGAACGCATCCACCTATAACATCTGAACACGTGTGCCACTATTGGTACCGCTAGCTTGTGAGTGAGAGTGTGAACACAGTGTCTATAATAGTGACATAAAATATGATGCCAGATTTGAGCTCAGCGACCCCCAAATTTACTACTAGACCTCCTTCTTTTTGGGGTGACCTTTCGAACGAGTTACAGCCCCTTTATAGATAAGGACAACCTCAAGCCATCCCGAGTCCACCTTGTAAGTTTGGATATTTTAACTCTAAAAACACTGGAGGAGTTCGAGAACAAATTCCCAAGCATAAATGGTATACATGTCTAGTATAAAGTTCCCATACTCCGCTGCAGGGTTCATAGACCCCCTTATATTCACAGAAGCCCCAGTGTACTAAAAAGGCTTCTCCATTATCCCCACTTACTTGTACAGCTACTCCAGTTAGGGTCTGTCCGTAGTACTTGAGAATGTGTGCCATATTGGTTCCGCTAGCTTGCGAGTGGGGATACAAACACAGTTGAAACATGACCCCCTGTGTCCTGAGGGAGTCAGGGACACAAAATCTAATATCTGATTCCAGATTGGGCTGCCCTGAAAACCTACTTTTATACCCCTCATGTTTGACTGACCTTGTGGGCGTGTTTTACTCTACCTTAATACCCCCTCGAGTTAAGTTTGGCCGTGCTATCCCCAGAACTGAATTAATATCTTGAAGAGACCATATTCTTCATTATAAATCTTGTCTTCTTTTAAATATACAAAATAAAATGTCCCTTTTTAAATGACAGAATCAACTGTTTTTGTCAATACAACTAAGATTTGATATTATACATTTATACACAAGCATACACGTACACGTGAGCATGTTCATTGCCGTTTTTTAACAAACAATGCATTTCAACATGTCGTTTCTGCTCTTTATATGATCAATACCGAATGTGAACATGCCCCTGTGGTTCTTTTTTGGGATAAGCAACAGCGCGTGCGAAACATACCCCTTTATATTCTTTCTGTGATAACCAGCATAGGTGTGTGGCTGTATCCATCCTACTGTTCTTTGTGTAAGAAACGGCATAAATAAACCAAAATGTTTTCTTTTGTGGTTAGTAGAGACACAGGATTGTAATTTAAATAAACAAACATGTGTTTTTTTAGTGAACATAATTCTAGACAAAACGTATAATGTAAAGAGAACAATTTCCTTACATAATTTCTTTGAATATTCTGTGATGTTTGATACAAAAATATCCTCTTGCTTTCTAACTTTTCCAGAACTACTTTGGTGATGCCTGGAATGTGTTTGATTTCGTCATTGTGCTTGGCAGCTACATCGATATTGTATACTCTGAAGCTAACGTAAAGAGATTGCTTTCTTTATTCTTTATATAAACTTTGGTAGGAAATACAGTGAAAGTAAATAGTGTATAAAATAAAATGTATTAAAGAAGTGTTTTTATGGATTAAATGTTAGTTTTCATAGTAGTTTAATAATTAATTGAAATATAAACTACACTATAAAAATTTCATGTTCGTCTTTAATGTTAATTGGTAACTGTTCCACTCGTGATATTTCATAAAAGAAAACCAAACCTCAAAAACATTACATTTGAAATATAGATTTTAGTTATCACAAGACTGCTAAGAACATTTTACAAACTTCAATATCATTCTAGGACAATACACTCTACACCTTGATATAGACATTTTAAACAGGGGATATAGACCTCACATTAATCAGAGGACTACACATTTTTCACAGTTGATATAGACCTTGCAATAATCACAGGACTACACATTTTACACATGGAATATAGACCTAACTGGCCAGCAGACTTTACACCACAAAAATAGACTTTAGTTTCATCACAGGACTACAAATTGTACACCAGGAAGATAGACTTTAGTTTTATCACAGGACTACATATTTCACACCACGAAGATAGACTTTAGTTTTATCACAGGACTACATATTTCACACCACGAAGATAGACTTTAGTTTTATCACAGGACTACTTATTTTACACCACGAAGATAGACTTTAGTTTCATCACAGGACTACATATTTCACACCAGGAAGAAAGACTTTCGTTTTATCACTGGCCTACATATTTTACACCAGAAAGATAGACTTTAGTTTTATTACAGGACTACATATTTTACACAAGAAAGATAGACTTTAGTTTTATCACAGGACTACATATTTTACACCAGAAAGATAGACTTTAGTTTTATCACAGGACTACATATTGTTACATCTCTGGTCGTTTGTTAATTACCCGTAAAAATTCTTTCGGAAGTACTTCAGCGATACAAGTTCTTTCTTAAATAAAACTAGTTTATTCTTTTTTCAGTTCAACTTTGCAATACACTTAATTTCATCAGTCACTTTAACTTAAACACAAGCTATAATTCATAATGATTTACACACTTTACTTACGCTTCACTCGATTGTCCCTCTCTCTCTCTGCCTGTCTGCAATTCAGTTCCGATTAATTGGGTCGCTTTATCTGGCGCGCTTGTATACAGGAATAAAGGGCGTCTAGCAAATACTGGATTATTCGTGATGTTCGCCGATCCTTCTAGAAATTCATCACGTGTTACCAGCGTCACGTGACTTCCGCTGTTGTAACAATATTTTACACTATGAAGATAGCCTTTGTTTTATCTCAGGACTACATATTTTACATCAGGAAAGTAGACTTCACATTCATGACTGGACTCGACATTTTACACCTGTAAAATAGACCTCACAATCACTGTAGGGCCTGGTAGTACATTATGTACTTGGAAAATATCCCACAATCACTGCAGGACGAGACATTTCACACTAGCAAATGGACTCTGAAATCACTGCAGGACTTGGTAGGATGCTTTATACCCGTAAAATATTTCATAATTATTAAAGGGTAAGACATTTTATTCCTGAAATATAAACATCACAACCTTTAAAATTAAAAAGGGATTTAATTTCGCGAAGTAGTCTTGCATCATCCACCCTTCATTTTGAACTTTTCCTTTGATTCTTTAGCTTCTCTTGCACAAAAAGTGTTTCCGAAGATGACTAAATAATGGATTTAACTTGTACATACTGCTTTGAACTTCTAATACCAAGATCTAGTTTAAACTTCACTCATCATTTGCATATCCTTGTATTGCTCAGACTAGCAATAGTTCTTGTGATTTACATTGATTGAGGAGTTAAGGTTAACGTATTTTGTAGTCTTTGATTTTAATCAAAACCTTTACTGAAATCTTTATTGTTGTTCAAAGAGAAGGTGTTTAATGGAAAGTGATGGGCATGTCTTTAATGTCCTGAACTTTTCCAAAATGTTCGAAACAAATGATTTCATATATCTGTTAGTTAATGAATAATCAGTTCATGAAATAGTTACTATGTTTGTTAGATTCAGCCAGTTAATCTATTAGTATTGAAAATATTGAGTTTATATTTTGATTAAGAAATGGAGATGCGAAATTCGACAGGTAAATTAAATTTCTGTTAGGTATGGTTTCTTTGTTCAATCAGGCCTAATGGTGAACGTTGTTTATGCTACCTGTGAAATTTTAAGGTAAAGAAATTATACTTTTATTTTCTGTTTTTGTTATCGTTAAGTAGACTGTACTTTCCATTGTCCTTTTTAGTGAATTATCTAAGAGAATCCGCCTAACAATAAAAACCATTACAACACTGGCATCAGGAATGGGATTATTTTTGGAAATTAAAGTAGAAGAGGCAGACTGAACTTGATAACCATACGTACTAGAAGCAAGACTGATACTTTGGATTAATGAAGTAAAGAAATAGTAGAAAGACGAACAAGAAAAAACAGGCAGCATTTAAGAGCGGAATCAGAAGAATTAGCCATTATATTTATAGAAGAATTATGATCAAAAATATATTTGATCAAAGACAAGATCAAAAAAGAGATAGAAAATGCAGAGGGCGTATCAAAGAAATAGACAACGAATAAAAGATCATCAATGAAGTAAAAAAGTTACTACAGAAGTTCAACAATGAAATAAAGAAATATTATAACACCAAGATTAAATAATCAGTAGGAAATGTATCAAACGACATAAACTCTAGGATATATTATCTAGAACCTTTAGCATTTGTTAACTAGAATACCATTAACTATGTCATATGGAATAGGAGAACCTATCTGATCTGTTGTGTCATCTGCAATGCTTAGACTATTTCAACTGTGCCAAGTTATCAAGTATAGCAGATTGGTCAACAACATCGCCCAATAAAAAAATAAAATACCTTACAGTTGAGTTGTTTGTTTTGTTACGACAGTGGAAGTCACGCGACGCTTGGAGCATGCACGCTAGAGTTTCTAGAAGGATCTTGACTTAGTGGGCAACCTCACGAATTTACCAGCGTTTGCTAGAAGCCCTCTTTTTTAGTATATAAGCCGGATAGGGATATAGAGACAGATAATTGAGTCAAGCGA